ACTGATATTGTAAGCAAATATTCCAAGCGTCATTTTGTCACTCATCTTACCATGATCGGTTTGAACTCGCTCGACGCTAGCATGTGTTTGATTCTGTACTCCGCCATAGCTTTGGCGGTCATTGCCTTGTATGTCTATTTCATCCGAAGACGACGAAGAACCGTGAAGCTTCGCGTTCACACTCCGTAACAACTGGTTGCAATTTCACCCCACGATGAACTTGCAACTGGTATTAAAGGTTCTAAAAATTGTTGACGTGACAAATATTTATTTATTTATATGCCTGAATCAGGCAGAACGCTTCTTCAATTGAATCTAAGGAGTTGTGTTACTTGATCAAGTAATCACACACGACTGGATATCAGTCGTAACACCATTTCACTGATCGCTCGTGAATAAAAATAAAATAGTTTTGAAATTGAATCGTGAAACGATTAAACGCGAAAACAATAAAATATAAAGCAACGTCCGTGCGTCACAAGAAAACCCTAATAGGGGTCTGTTCACAGTTAAAGTGTTTGGCCTATTTAAAAGTAAACGTATGTCAAGTTTTTCAACAGCCGTTACCTCGGCAAACCAAAACAATCGCTGACTGGTGTTTAGAATAGTGTTTTTTTAGCTGGCTTAAAACACCTAGCATTTGACCCATTGAGAATCATATCGATTGCTGTTAAAATTGATAGCACAGTAATGAAGACACAAAGAATAGTTTGAGCAATATCCATTGTGGAGGTGTTTATTTTTACTACAGATTTTATCTCCAAGGTCTGCAAGTATTTTAAAAACATATATTGTAATGAGTATTTTCCAATGTAAATAGTGATATAGAATTGGATAGAGTTTTAGATTAAAATCTACTTTTTGTTCGAAACACCCAGGACGCTGTAAGCAGGTAGTGAGACAAACAAAACTCTTACCTGACCCCTAGATTCAAGTGTAGTACAACTGATTTTAGTTTCATTAGGACATATATGATAATCTAGAAATTGTCAACAACAATAAGTTTGCTAGCATGGCTGGTTTTATTTTAATAATAATTGCAGTCGAAAAAATACCAACGCCTTTGAAAGCATCTGAAATAAATTAAATGACGTAACACATAATGACTTTCCGTATCATTCTTAGTTTTGTGTTCTACATGTCTCGTTGTTTCTTGTAGACCTGCTGGTCTTGAGATATCTGGGTACAATAAGGGGTTAAGAGCCAGTTGAGATGCCAAAACTCTTCATTACGAATCTTGTGCAAACAGGTTCTTGTTCGAGATATGTTCAGAGTAAGATGTTTCAACTTGTTCTAGCACGACTGCAGCCGTGATTTTGTGGCAGTTTTGTGACTGACTCACACTGACTGTGGTTTGTTCCTTTTACAGGAGTTTGCCGACTACTTTGACCGACAGTTACAGACGAAAAAATACAAGACGGAGGATAGTGAAGACGACAAGCATTCAGACACTAACGCGACAGACACTAACGTAGACCCATTCGCAGAAATTATTTGAAAGCGTAGGCAAAGCAGAACAAACGAAGTCAGCCTGCGCAATAGCAACAGCGAGATGACCGGAATTGGACAAGCCCACAATGTATTGTGGGAAATTAGCGCCGGCGCTACACAACACAATATACATGGTACTCTGACTTCTTAACGTCACAGACAACGACTAGAAAAGCGGTTTTACCCGCGAATCCTTGGGCATGTAACATTTGCACGTCCAACGCTAGAAAAATTTTGTAATTCATTACTGTCTAACGGCAGGGAGCATTCTTGTGTATTCAGAGTCATTAGAGTCACGTAGTTCAGTCGTAGGAACAAGTATAATATTTTTTTTCCCCGGAGAATCTTCGTTTAAGCATTCGAAGGGTTTCAGATTCTAGCTTTCCAATCAGGAAATAGCGCGAACACTCACGGATACGTTGAAAACAGCCACGACACCGTGGTGTAATTAGAATAAAGCAAGTCTTCTCGCTCACCCTTAATGATACTTGTTCCTCCGACATTTTACGCATTTTTTTCAGACACTGGCTTGAAAAAAGCCGGAGCAAGTTTATTTTTTTTTGTACTCAACTGATTTCTCTTGATTACTGACTTTCCGCAAGCAAATCTTTTGAAAAGTGGGAAGGGCAGCTTAAGTCTTATGAAGTGCGAGGGCCTTAGCAGAATATTGGCCCATAGGTCTTAGCAGTATGGATCGAGCACCGCGAGATCTGTACAGAAAAACTGAGAACTGATGTTCCTCCAGTACGGTTCCAAGAAAGCGCGGCTGATAAATTTCATTTCACGAGTTAACCCTTTGAATACCAAACTCTTGCCAAAAAATACCGTTTTTAACCGTTTAGTCAGGTTTTTTAGCTGCCATGACGCTAAATAAGCCTAAGTTGTGCTAAAAAGGCATTTTTTTGCTAAAAGGAGAGCTTTTTCGAGGATTACGTACAAAATTGAGCAAACCTTCAATTACGGGCATGCGCATAAGCCAAAATTTGGACTTTTTTTTTTTTTTTTTTTT